ATTTGAACTTGTACACAACTAAATTCTTCTTAAAATAAGACAACCTATCCTTAGTAAATGACGGAAACACATGTCTAGTTTGAAAAACTGTGCTCAACTTAACAGCATTATAACAAGACGAAATAGATGTCGAAAAACTGTCAGACAATAACTGTTATTTCCTACCAAGCCAAGGTAATTTCAAGTAGATATGGCAATGGCTGGGTCCAAAGACCTAAAGGTTCCTTAAATCGCCTGATTTTGCTATCAATAACACGCTTGATAACATTGATGGGATATCCATTACTTTCGAAAATATTCCGAATAGTAGTAAGTTCCCCATCTAACAGTTCAGGGGAACAAATAATGACAACGCGATGAACCAAGTTAGCAATGAAACTAATCTTACGGGACTTAGGCAAAAACGTGTATAGTTCAATGAATGTAGGCTTAAGAAAAAGACTGATAACGAAAACCCCGTCCTTACGCTTCACAAGAGCATCCAAAAACGAAAGGGCCCTATCCTTTCAACCGCCATTGTAAACTTAAGGAATGGATGGAGAGAGATAAGTTGAGCCAAGAAATGTGTAGCATCTATGGCAGAAACAATGATAGAAAAGGCGTCGTCCACATATCTCCTAAATACACAAGGTTTTTGGACATTGTCAAACAAGATTTGCTCATAATAGCCCACGAAAATATTGGCTAAAACCGACCCCCAAGGGCTACCCATAGAAACCCCATCTGCCTGGATATACATAATCTCATTGAAGCTAAACTCAACACCCTCTGTAGCCAGACGCATACATTGCAAGAATAGTTCCTCATTGATAGCGGCAGGGCCCAAATTACGCATATATAGAATATCGGTACAAATGCCAACGGCCTCATGTAATGGGACGTTAGAGAATAAACTGACAATGTCAAACGAATTCAATTACATAAAATTGAAAGCAAATTCTGAAGTTTTTGGTTTTTGATTTTTAAACATATAATTCCTGTGTAGCGATGAAACCATATTTTTAAATCAGTTATATATATATATATATATATATATATATATATATATATATATATATATATATATATATCAGTGAATATTGAAGTCAAAACTCAGAGGTGATAAGCTTTTTTTCATGCTGGACGCAATCGTCAGGCCGCGCATGCTGAAATTTTCTTCGGCTATTTATCTCTATGGGTCAGTGGTGCATTGTGGGCAATCTATTAAATCGCTCCCGTTATAGTTAATAAAATAAGTATAAATAAAAAAGTAAAACTAATCAATCCCAAATCAATTAAAATAAATTAACTCAAACAAATAAATAATTAAATAAACAAAGCACTCCTGCAAAAAACAACGCCAGAATTGATTACACACAATACTCCTAAAACTATATTACTTATATATATATATATATATATATATATATATATATATATATATATATATATATATATATATATATATATTCACTAAGAATACTTATATGTGAATGTATATACATTTTTTCTTGAGAATTATCATTATCGGAGTTTTGCGTAAATAAAAGTAGTTAATGTTTATCAATAGAAAGAATAGCGTGAGTATAGTATGAATTATTGACTGGAAAGAAACATGAAAAATTAGTAGAAGGCTTTTGAATGAACTTCAGAAACACAGAAATACGCGTTCCAAGAAAAAAGGAGCCTTAGGGCGAAAGATTGGTCAGAAAAAACAACCTCCAAGCTGTTGGTAAAGAGCATTGACCTTTTGCTGGTATATAGCGGGCACATTGCAATGATTTACAGCAGGATCTGTCCTAAAGGAATGGATGCTGTGTCGAAACATCCATTGATCTGAATGACTCGATTCCACTTATTATATTTCTTACAGACCGAAGAATTTGTTAACATCAACAAAGAAGACAACGTGAAAGCCCATGAGGCTATTTCAAACCTCGCAAATGTCACTAATCGGAGATATTTGTGCGCAGAATGGAAGTAATGAAATAACACAGATGAAGGTCACGTTGAGAAAGAAAATGGCCGTCTCCTTACATCTGATGCATTTACAAATCGGCTGCATCAAATTGCTTGACAAGGAAAAATTTTCCGTATGGCGTGTGTCATCTGTGACATGGAAAACAACAGATGAGTATAATATATTATCAGCTATATCACATTATGTCTCTGATATTAATATCGCTGCACGTTTAATCAGATTAGAGAAACTACTACGAATAATGTTTGTCTTAATATCCGTAGAGGTAATGATGAAAAGAATTTGGCGAACAAGACAGAATATATATATATATATATATATATATATATATATATATATATATATAGTTTATGAAAAACTAGGTAATCCGTATGGGTAAACCTAAGGAGGATAAAATCCAGAGAGCTCAATGTAAATCCAGAGTGAATAATTCCAATAAAAACAGACCACTTTAAGGTTCCATGTAATAAATTATTTCACCACAGCCCTTTTAAAAGGACTGCGGATCATCAGACTTTACTTCCAAACAAAAAATGAAAA